TTTGACTTTGGAAGTCAGATTCGAGTGTCTTTTTATTTAGTTTATTTTAAGACAGACAAGTCATGTGACCTTTCCTTCCTAAAAAGGTGCATTGACAATTGCTTCTATTTTACTGTAGACCATGACATTAGAGAGCATACACGGAGCTATCAGTAGCGCTTATCGAATCTTCAAAATAGTAGGAAATAATGGATTACAAAATTAATCTAAAAATGTTTCCACTACTGAAATGGTGAAATAAAAATGCTGTATCATTTGCTATATGTGGAAACTCAGTTAAAAGGGGATAGAATCTATATTGTCTATATATATCTATATTAACTATATTATCTTTAAAAGCCCTTTTTAGAAGGCATATTCTCTAATTCAGTTTGCAAACCTGAGTGCATCATAGTTAGCAGTACAGGACTAATACTGGGGATGACCTTTTAACCTTTAATAATATTCTGTACAGTATTTAAATTTAAAAGAATGCAAAAAAACTCCAATAAGCTGCTAATATGATATTTTAAAATGCATTTTCTAAACAAACCACTGGCCACTGAACTTTACAGAAGCAATTTAATAGATTGCTTTCATATAGGATTATCATAATAGGATTTCATTTATCCTTTACATAAATTAATCTGAATATGAAATCTGTTTAGCCCCTTTTCATAATTTTACATTATATTTGGTTTTCACAGACTTTATAGGAGAACAGTATCAACATCTGATATATGCAGTTTTTTGACAGTTCTGCTAATTGTATTTCCCAATATTTGCCATAATACCTACTCTATATACTTCCTTTTGAAAAATGACCCATAGAAATGTTCCAGTTTTCTTTAGAAACCTACAGTATAGACAACCAGTGTATACCTATAGAAACCTTTAAGGAGTTTTAGTAAGGGCTGTGGGATCTGAGATCACTAGAAGCAAATACCCTGGATCATAGCGTGTGCGCATGCTCTCCAACAGTATGGCCGAGGCAAGTCTGTGTGAAGCCTGTTGTCCTTTTCACAAGGCCAGGTGTTGGTAGGTCCCTTGTGTGGAAAGGGTAAGCACTGCTCTGTAGCTGTGCATGAATCTGTATATGATCAATTAAAGGAATTGCAGAAGAAGAACTGGCACAAAACGTGAATTCTGGAACTGTTACGCAAATCTTGAAATTATGACGTACATTAGTTGTAGAAACATAATCGATATTGTAGTCCATAAATAAAGTATTATTCATTTCCATGGAGGTATTATATAATTAAATGTAGGGGAATATCTTTTTGCAAGGCATGTTATTAGTTTTTCTTTAAGACTAATGCCTTTTAAATTCATTGCTTCTTATTTGAAAGGCAGCGCCACTTGTCTAATTGGTCAAGTCAACAAAGCTTTGTTCTGAGCACATGTCTGATGACCTCTTCGCACGCTGGGTATGTTGATGAGCAGCTCCCTGTCTGCAGCTGGCCCTGCCCGCAGGAGACGGGCTGAACCGCGGTCTGCAGCCTCGCTTCCCTGCTGTCAGTCGTTAGTGCAGTCCGTCACTGCCAGGCTGTGCAAGGCTCAGGGGCATCCACCCATTTTCGAACTGCTTTGTGCAATACAGGGTGGTGGGGGAGCCTGACCCAGCAAGCAGCTGGCACAAGGCCGGGTGGACCCCAGAAGGGGTGCCAGTCCATCACAGGGCACACAGAGACACAGACACAGACACGCACACTCCCACCAGGGCCGATTCTCCCAGAAGCCACTGAACCTACCATGTATGCCTTTGGACTCTGGGAGAAAACTGCAACACACGGAGGACACACATGCAAACATGGGGAGAACATACAAAATCCACAGAGGAACTGAACAGCTGTGCCATCGTGCCGTCCAGGGGTAAAGACATCCCATAAATCACTGCAATAGTCATTTCTGGGTTGTTTTCTGGGAAGGGTCTATACTTATATACACAAAGAACACCAAATTTAATTCAATTGTTGGGAATTATCTTTTGATAGCACAGTAGGAAGTTAAGGCTTTGAACGCTGTTTCTACAGTTGTTGATCAATTAAAAGCCACGATTTAAAAAGCATTCACAAATTACATACACAGTAATATGCATTCTTCAATTTAGACAACCGTTTCATCTCCCAATAATCTTGCAAGGCAGCAGTGAATTCCTAGATTAATTCTGAGACTCTAAAGATCAAGTTACTTCTTCATGTGATCTTTTGCAATGGCACAAAACTCCAGAAAAGATCTTGTCTTGTACTATAGCTCTGCATTCCTGTTTTTAACTCAACTGTAATGTTAAAACAAGAAGTTACACACAGGAGTGATTTGCTTACAGTGTTGACTTGATGGTTAAGACTGATTGGCTGTATAAGTCCATGGTCTAGTAGTTTCCGCTTTGGAGAAAATGGATATAAGTCCTTTTCACAGCAGATTGGTCCTACCTTTCGTCCAACTATTTTTCCTTTAGGTTTTTATATGATATACTAACATGAATAACAGTATGCATTTATGTATATGTTATTGCATTAGGAGTTACAACAAAAACATTTAAAATGAAACAAAATACAAAGCATTCTTAAATTTTAGAATTTAAATCAAGAGGATGTTATGTTACACAACACACTAATGAAACCTAATTCATAATACTGTGCTGTTCTTATGTGATCAGCACAAATCTAAGCACACAAATGGATACTGCGGGAAGTACAGTACATCTTAGACTGGGAACAGGAAGCATTTTGTATATAAGAGATTGTGGAAATTTGGACTTATGCATGATTTTGAAACTGCCTGACTTTTTCAAGATACAGATGGATGAAATCCTCAGATCAATTAGTTATGAGAAATAAATTGATCTAGGTAGGACAAGTAGCTTTCACTTGTTTATGTTTTTCCTGTAAATGAAAGTGTTATGTTATTTATCACACCTGCATTGGGTGCATCCTCTTTTGAGTGAATTGTGAAAGTAATCACATTTGTAAATTAATTTTGACCTTCTCCCCCACCAGGCCTTACTGCCTCCGATTAGAAAGGATCTCCTGGTATTAGATTAGATTAGCTTTCTAATTAGCCTGCTTTTTGTAGGCTTGCTGCCAAATGTAGACTCAAAACATTTCAATCACACCAGATGAGAAAACCTACTCATTTATTAATGGAATTACACATTAGCGCGGCTGTAAAAAGCTAATTAATATATTTTGAAGCCCTGCTCTATTGTTGGCTCATTGGCTCATTTTAAACTGCTCTTGACCTCTTCTCTTTCCACATGTTTTCTTTTTCCATGTCTGTCCATCGTGACCTCTACATGGACCAGAATAGGCGTTTACATGATAGGCTTTCCCTGTCAAATGCAACAGGCCCCTTCGTCGTGTTCACTACACCTGGATGTTCCTGGTGGCCCTGGCTTAGTCCCTTCCAGTGATCACCTGTCGTTTCCTGCCACACACAGTGAATCACTTAATGAAGAAAACCTAAGAAAAGCCAGTTGTAATGGAAAGGTACACTGACTTTTTTACGTGTTTTTTTTTTTAACAGAATGTCTCACACTGTCTGTTCAGTCTCACTACAACAGAAACTTCCAGTTGACCTACTGCACACTTAGTGGTGGTGGCCTAAACAAATACACAGCAGTACTTTTTTTGGAAAGTGGGAATCATTTTTTTTTCAGCAGTCTCGGATATTCAGTTCAGGGTTTCAAACAAACACCGGAACAGCTTTGAGTCCGAAATAAATATTTTCCCTGCCCCATGACCAGCATTCCCCACAGCCTTTAATTTGTGTTTTAGTTGTACAGTGAATAGTGTAGTCCCAAGATTACTCAATGGGAGACTTGTTACTAAGCTTCATAATTACCCAGCTGGAAAGAAATGTGGTTGGAACCATATTGTTGCAGCTGATACCTTGGCTTCTTTATGGAAGCCAAGATGGATGAGACAACTGGATTATCTACTACCAGATGGTTCAAAATGCTCCTTTGTTTCCACTTTGTGTACAGTACATTCATCCATTTTCTAACTGCTTCATTCAGGTCAGGGACGCGGAGGAGCCGGAGCACAAGGCAGGGCACGCCCCGGATGATACGCTTGTCCGTGACAGTTTAATTTTTTTGTGCTTATTTTAGATGCACCTCTTTATTTTCTGTTAAAAAAGAGGCAGTTGGTTGTGTGGTCGTTTCCATCTTACCAACGTAACCCCGAATTTCCAAAGAAAGTTGTTAGGGGTGTTTTAGTTAAAGTAATGGATTCTCATGCGGAAGCCGAGATCGCCCAAAGCCACGGGAAAATCCAAGCTTGTGGTTAAAGAGTGGCAGTAAAGGTCGCAAACCGATATTGTAAAGTAGCTCACTTTACCAAAAGGGGAGTCCAGAAGACCAGGTCGCTAGTCAGACGTGAAGCCAGAACAAAAACCAAAAGTCGGGGTCCGGGACAAAGCGCAAGTCAGATGTCCGAGGATCAGTACACCAGACACAAGTAACACACAGTAACACACGGCTGTGTCCGCAGTGTCTCCTTAAAAATACTGTGAGACCGGAGGTGTGGTGGTGAACAGGGATGGTGACTGGGTAATTATCGCTGGCGTCTAGGTCTTCTAGGATGGGTTGAGGTCTGATTATGAGAGGCTGATAACGTGACAAAATTGAAGAATATTCTGCTTTAAGACGTAAATACATTTTTCTCTGGGGGAAAAGGACAGATCATAGATGCAGCAAACAGAGACTTGTGTTTTAGTAGTAATGACTGGCAATCAGAATGCACATACTTAGTACCTTCCTTGTACCACAGTAGAGAAAATACTCTGGATCTCACTTCGAGAAAAACCCTTTGTTATCTACAGAACTAGTCCTAGCAGACTTCGACAAAAGAGACTCTGGCAGATCTTTTTTGTAAATACATATTCAGTTTATTACCAGATGACCATAGTCTTACATAGACTTTTCTAAAACAACATTCATTACATTTTTCACTATCCCCAAGTGATTTTTTTTTCTCAAAAAAGACAGTCCGTTTGTTACAATAATTTAGTTTAAAAATCTTTTTTTCTTTAGCTGATGCTAATTTAGTAACAATAAAATTACAGTACAGAATGAACCTCACAACATTTTTACAGTGGTATTCAGTGACTCACATTACGGGTGACAGTGTAGTACAGTACCCTTATATACATGCACTAAAGTGCTAGGATCAACAGGCATGCAAGTCAAGTATAACACCATCGTGTACAGTTGTCCGCCAGTACTTATCAGATTCATCACTCCTGCCAGTTTTCAATTTTCTTTTTTTAAAATTATGCCAATGCATCCCTTTTAAGAACAGATCACACCACAAAAGTAAATATAGAACCTCTTTTGACATCACGTTCCTTTGCTTCAAAGCGAAGCAGTTTTTCAATTTCATTGTTTGTCTTTTATTACATTTTTTTTTTAACATTTCATTTTCATTACCTGTTTTTTTTTTTTCGGTGGAGTTTCTTAAGAGAGGAACAAAAGTGAATGGGGAAAAAAAATGGAGTGAGACTCATAAAAATATATATTTACATGGAAAAGTGTAAGAGTGCAAATGTAAAGTTCCCCCACAAGAAAACAAAAAGAGAAAAACAATAAAGCAAAAAAGGCAGTCCAGATACTGAAAGACATTTCACTTATTAGTGTTGCTCTAGTTTCCTTAGACATTTGAAAAACAGACCTCTGATAAACCCATAAAAAAATATGATGGTGACTAAAATATATATATGTACTGTATTTATACTGTATATCATTTTTTACAATCAAGAACCTAGGTTTTCACAGGCACATTTTATTGTCGCTGTTATTGATCTTCCTGTACTTCACCCCACGGCTGTGACTGTCCACGTGTCCCTCCCACGGTGTCCTCCCGGCTCCTTCGCCGGGCTTGTAGCCGACAGGAGGGAGTCGGCGGCGCCGGCGCTGGGCAGCTGTGGCCAGCGACGGAGGCCAAGGCAGAGACTCGGAGCGGACCGAGACGACGAGGCTTCAAGCCGGACTGGGATCCTGCCTGGAATTCCCAGCTTCTGGGAGCTGCTGCTGCTGCGGCTGTGGCTCTGCCAGAGGAAAGGAGAACTCTGCCGGAGTCTGGGACCATCTAGGAGAGGCAACTGGGGAATGAGAAGCCCAGCGGGAAGGTGGCCGCCGGTTGGCCGGCCTAGCAGGCCTCAGGAAGCAGGACTCCAGAGGGGGCGCTACCGAAGAGCTGGGCAGTTCCTTTCAAAGAGAAGGCCCAAGGTTAGAGAGAGAGAACCAGGAAAACGAGCTGCTCAAAACACTGAAGGTTCGCCTCAAATGAGATGTTTATTAACGGTCAGTGTCCACTATGAATCCTTCCTTTTTATGGGCTGAACTAATTTACAGCAAGACTCCTCGAACAATGTGCATCTCTTGGTGTTTTTTGTTCAGCAAAGGAAAAACGCTCTTAGACGCACTTGTACTCGTTTCTAAAAGGTCGACGTTCGCAGTGTGTTCGTAACTTCAAGTCAAAAGAAGACCAAAAGACAACTGATAAGTCATGAGATGAAATACACCGAGAGTTCATGCTACTGTTGAGAATAACCAAATAAAAATAACAGGGGTTTTCAATACTTCTCCAGAGCAGAATTTGCTCTTTATTTGCAGAAAGGAATTACAGTACACATGTATGAAGACGCCAGCTAAGCTAAAATGAATACTGGTGTGGAAATTTTACATTAATTTATTGTTTTATAGTTACTTTATAGTTATAAATAGTTTGTGAAGTTTAGACTCTATTTGTTGGTAGGAAATATGAAGGACATTTTGTTCATGTGTAGAATACTCCCTTTAATGAAAAAAACACAACCAAGATGAAGCACAACCAAGCAAGACCTTCTATATTTATAATGAATGGCTTGTAATTTCTGTGTTAAAGAAACATGTAACAAAGTAATGAAATGATTTTACAAAAGTATGTTTTTTTTTAAAGAAATAAGTTTATATTTTGTAATGAACAAAACCACTGTTTCTACTTGTATGCATTAACGATCAATGTTGTCTGAAGCTGTAGGGTATAATTAGTAAGTTTCTGCAGTCTCAGGTTGCATCTTAAGGAAAGAAGGAATTTGATACTCTAAGTATAATTTGAGGTCTTCTGAAGACATACTGTACTTTAGGTAGTCAGATGCTATGAAGGACAGGAACAAAGACATTTTAAAAGCATGAGGAAATGAAAGAGAAAAGGATTATAACAAAGTTAAACTGCCAACATGTCTGAAGGCTTAAATGTAAAGACAAACAACAGCAACAATACAAAAAGGATTATACTATCCCATTCTTACTTTTCCAGTTTAGATAAAACCAAAAACATCTTTCCACTGCTCTATACAACCTAATGTTTTGATGACAAAACTGAACAAGAAGGTAAACATAGAAACATTTTATGTATCTCAGAAATATTGTCTACTATGCCATGAAAGGCTCTGAGCTGGATGTCTTTATGGCTGCTTCTTCAGCGTTTTTTAAGAAATAGCAATAGTATATAGCAATAAGAGCAAACTAAAAAATAAAAACTTAACAAAATTTAATTTGATGTTGAATATTTTAGGTAACTATTTTCAACAGAAATGCACAGATCATTCAGTGCTCTCACATAAATGTACATGCTGGATACAAAAAACTTTTTAAAAAAAATTTGAACATCTTTTTTCTGCACCATTAGAAAAACAAGAAACTGCTGAGTGGACTTGGTTGCCTGTCAGTGACGCAGATTGGAAAAAGAACAGTTTTCTGTTAAAACAAGTTTTTGTTACATTTTTTGTTTCTGTAGCAGACAAAATGGATGCATGCAACATGGCTGCATTGATGTTTTTGCTTGTTCCCTGTAAATATCAAAGGCATAGATCTCTAGACAACCCAGACATCCAAATCACATCACAAAGAAAACAGGAGCAACATGCAATATTCCTGTCTTTATTTACCAATTTACCAGAAAATAAAAATAATGCCGAAAGGGTTATTAATATGTTAAAGATCTGAAAGGACTGAGACAGACATAATGTAAAAATAAGACTACGCAACAGTGTCAGACAAGCACAAAAAACAATGAAATAGCAGTCTGACAACCTAGAAAAAGTCACTGGACATCCTGTAACCAAATTCTCCATATTGAAGCCATATTCCATAGTCATCTCCAGCCATTACAAGAGGCCGATACAGGATCACTGAAAACCAGACTTTATATATCTAAGGTGGAATCTGCTGGGTTGAATCATTTCTCCATTTGAATAAGAGCATGCAGCTGTTTGCAACTGTATTCTTCTATACCCATTGGTTAAGTTAAAGGAAGTTCATCTAGGTATACCTGGGCCCTCATTTTCAAAATGGCACAAAGCAGAAATGAGTACTGATATGTTGTTTAGGATTGCAGATGCAGTTAATGCATTTAAATAATCAAGATTATTTAAACTCTGCACATTAGTTGTCCTTGCTTAGAAGTTGTGATGAATTTTGTTTTGTTCATGGGTTTGCTTTTGCTTTTTTATCATAATTTAGAACCACTATAAGAATTTACCTCTAACACACAATGCCCTTTTCTAAAAAACGAAGTTCTTGTTGTCTAGCTTCGAATTTTATTTCATACTTTTGTAAATTAAATACTGCTCAGGGCAAGCTCCAGGTGAATTCTGTGCAAAAAAACTGTATTTCTTACAGTGACAAAGACAATGTTTGCTATGTGAAGAGTTAGTGGTATATCAATGGTATTTTCTTTTACACTTTGCAGGAAAAAAAGTGCATATCGGACCACTTTAAATAATGATTGACGAATTCACGAATGTGTTCTGGCTCATGATTTGTAAGTTAAATGACAATTTCTGGAGAACTGGGATGATATCATGTTATCAAACCAAGTGGCAGAATACAGAAACAAGGACAGAGAAATCAAATTCTCGCTTAAGGCTGTATAAAATCTTCACTAATGGGAAGGATACAATTTTCTCCATGACACATAAGACTGTGGCCTCATTTCATTGCAATGCTAGGAGGATGCAGTGAGTACTGTAACAATACAAAGATAGTACTAACCAAATGGGCAGGATGGAACAGATGGCTTTACATTTCTTATGTACACGTTCACTCGTTCCCTTACAATGTGGGAGCCCCAAGCAGCAAATGTGCACAGCGCATATTTCTCTGTTTTGCACACAGAGCCCACAGTGAGTGAGTTCAGAGAAGAGGAATAAAGGAACTTACAGCTTTGAGACAAGCAGAGTTAGAGTCCCCAGGGAGCAGTTAGTAAGACAGTGTGGTTCTGGATAGATCAGGGAGGTTGGAAAGGAAGAGAGAAAATTAGAGTGAAAAAAAAGATTTATCATAGAGGGGAAAAAAAACAGGAGACCGGAGTCATAAAAGGTGATAGGTAGAGGCTTCTATAAATACAGAGGAGCTGCCAGCAGCTCCCCGTGATGGACTAGTGTCTTATAACCACCAGTATACTGAAATAACTTCTCAGAGCCACCTTCACAGCCACATCCTGAAAGAGAAGAAGCACTTGACTGCACTATTAAAGGGAATGTGTCTTGAAAAGCAAAGTGCGATTAGCTGTGCAGAAAGATGGCTATTTATAAGCCTCCACCAGTCTGCTTAATGTTCCTGTGAAGCTTAATACACAAACCAAGCAGCAGGAAAAGACTGTAGTGAAATCAGCACTTTGCTTCTATTAGCTCATGCCTTTATACAAAACTCCTCCGTTTTTCAACACTGAGAGCACCATACAGGAAGTGTATAATTTAAACTGGGACTTCTACAGCAGGACATTCATTAAGCAGCAGCCAGCTGTGACTTTAATTATTATTGTTTAAGTGCAGTAAGACTGAATTTGTTACACCCTCTGATTACCCAAAGTAAGATAACAGGCTTTTAAGATTTGTGAATTAATTGTTAACTCAAATACTTTGACATATTCCACAGACATACCTTAATGCTATGAAATAACAAAGCTTACAAACTGTGAACGTTTATTTGTAGCTTTCAAAACAAACTTTAAAAAGTTTCACTGTTAATTAATTTCAACACATCTTAATATCATTATTTGAATCTTGTAGAAGAACACTATCTTGTACTCACAATTTCACAATTCACAGAAAGGCTGAACCCATTTAAATGTGCATAATTAAAGAAATGTGTAGCAATTATAACGAAAACATTCTGGTGCCTTTCAGGTTTTTGAAAGTAGTTCTCAAGAAACCCCTCCCAAAGTCATGATGATCAAGAGCCTGCAATTGCTAATAATTATGGGTATGAATATTATTTTTGTAGCTCTTGTTGTATCACAATGCTATTAGAGACAGAATTATCAACATCTCATTCTGCCTTCTGCCAGAATCAAGTATAAGTGGTTATTTTTGCCACTTTTTCCACACACGTTACAAGGAAAAGTAAGCTATGTTAAGCCCGTGAGCTTTTATAAGGCTAAAAGTCTGCGGCTGATAACTTTGACTTTAAATTAATGAAAAGTAGGATAAGAAGGCATGAGATAATTCCTATCCTGTAAAGTTGTGAAATGACGAGCTAAGAGAAAATGAGTATTGATACTCCCACATTATATCTACAATTTCTAATTTTGAGCCTCTACACGGTGGCATGTAAAGGCCAACTCATCTGAGTGATAATGACTCAATAACTACATAATACAAGTGCATTCCAGCAGAATTTCACTTCTCTTTATCAGTGGTTCCATTTGCAGTATTAAGATATTTACATGTTCCTTTCCTCTAAAGATACTTCTTTCACCTTTCAAACAACACGTTTAGATTTCATAGGATAAAAAGGTCTGGAAAACTCAGAAAATACATTTTACTTACACAACAAATAATTTGCGCCAACCCGAGGTTTGCAACAGATTGCATGGATTATTTTACACCATAGGACTATTTTATTAAAGCAAAGATATATTTGCACTTCTTCAGAACCTGCAAATTCTCTCTTGGGATTCTAATGTAACCAGTACATGATAAAATAATGGATACGTCCTAGACAAGGTAGCATGTTATTATTTACAGTAATCAAGGGCTTGAAAGAATGTCACTGCATTGAATGCATCATGCAGAAGGAACGGCTTACAAATGCTTACCTCAATGGACCCTTGTTGAGCTTTTTCCCCGTCGAGAGCTCTTCCATCCTTGCCGAGGCTGACTTGACCACTGGAGGCCAGCTTTTTCTCATCCTTGAAGGCCTGTTCAAGCAGTCTTTTATTTAAGATCCTGGCGGCATTCTCGGCAAGTGTGTAACCTGGAGGGGCAGACAAGTCCTGCCTAATGCTTATGACTTCAGGGGTCTTTTCTCCCTGAGTCTCTACAATCAGTCGGACCGGGCTGGGTGACCGGCCTCGCACATTCTTGAGGAACTCCTGCACCGTTCCATAGCCGGGGGACTTGGGTTCGGCAGGCCTCGGCTCTGCGGACCTGGAGCGGCTGGGCGATCTGGTGAACTTCTGCAGGGTGTCGTAGACCACTGGCGTGTGATCGATGATGTTGAAGAGGCTGGAGAGCCCATCGTTGATGGTGGTGTGGACGGGGCTGTCCCTGGTGGTGGTAGACCGAGCCCAGGCTGACTCGCTGAAGCCCTTCTGGGGTGTGGTCGGAGCGGGCGCTCGGTTGTTGGACTGTTCCGACTTGGCCGGCAATTTGCGCTGGAGCTTCGGGGAGCCATATTTAGGAGAGCAGCAGGGGCGCTCAAATTTGTTCTGGATGACGGGGGAGAACTGCATTCTCCTCAAGCTCCGAGACGGGGACGAAACAGGGGTCGACCCCCCCTTTGGCGTTAAGCATTTGTGGGGACTGCTGGTGACGTTTCTCAGGGCCTCTGTCTGGAGGCCCACGCTGATCGTCTGAGTGGTCTGTGTCCCCCGCGTGGTGAAGCCATTGGTCTGGCAGGCAGTGTCCTTGAACTGGCGCTCCACGGAGTTCGGCCGGATGGCGTTTCTCACGGAGAAAGCGACCTCTTTCATGTCGTCGCTCATGTTCCTCGACAGCTCCAGGTCATGCAAGGAAGAGGTGAAGCCCACGGTGGAGCAAATAGGGCGCTCCATGGGGTGCAGCCCCCCATCTAGCAGTTCCTGGTGGTGCTTCGGCAGTTCACAAGGCCACCTGCCAAAGACTTCATCCGACCCTCCCAAGGGGTCTCTTGCCTTTGCCTTGGCCACCGAGAACACGAAGTCCGGGTCGACCACTGGCCTCTCGTCGCTGTTGGGAAGGATTGTGCTGTCGAGCTTCCGGCTCCCGGGGGGGCTGTGGAAGACCCGCACCCCGAACTTGTCGGCTGCCGCGGCGCCGATCACGGGTGGTTTCTGGCAGTGCTCCGGGCTGGTCACGGTGTTCGTCGTCATGGTCACGCTGGTGGTCAGGTACCACGAGGGCGCCTGGAATGGATTGGAAGTCTGCTCTGCCCTCCTGCTCTCCGTCCTTTCCACCCAGGCCTGCGCTGGATTCTCCGCGGGTCCACAGACCCCGGGGCTGGGAAAGTCCCAGCTCTTGTTATTGAACTCCTCGATGTACTTGAGGTCGTCTGGCGACAAGGGTGGGGTGACCTCGTCTTTGCCGCCGTCCCCCAGTGTGCTCTTCTCAGGAAGGAATGGAGAACTGTCCATCAAGCGCTGGAACTCAGACATAGAGCAAACTGACTTAGCCCTGCAATAGAGTCATGAAAGAAATAAAAAATACGCATCAGATCTCATCAAGAAGAAGAACAGTGCAAGCCAGGTATTGTTGATCGCTGTAGAAATACCACAGTGCTGAGTATTAAAATTTAACCTTTTTAAGTGCAGTGTAATCTTTATCATTTTACTTGTTAGGAATATTACCTGCTAAAATGTATTTAACTGTATGTAATTAAAGACTTTTGGGTTCAACTTTAAAAAGTGATGCAATAGTGACAAACAAATGTCATTTTCCTGAGTAACAATGAAACACAAATACTTATAAAAGCACAAAGAATAAAATCTAAACTGTCATGTTAAAATGAGAAAACGCCTGTTGGATTAAGCTAGTTTCACTCATACTATGCTCTCAAAAACTCATACACCCTGCCTTTGCTCAAAAGTTAGATTGAATTTTATAGGTCACTTTATACCAATTACATCTTTTGACTCACCAGGACTACAAAAATCCCTTTTGTTTACAGGAGGTCAGCCTTCATATTTCACAGAAATGAAGCAACAGTGATTGTCATAACTAATAAAAAGCTGTACAAGTGGCCAGAATTTTTTTTAGTTTTTCGCGTTTTGTCCACACTTTTACCTCAGGAGATTTCCGGTTCGCATTTCTTCTTCATGATACGCAGACAGACCCTTTTTGTCAGGAATTTCATTCAGCGCCTGAAATGCAAAGTATTATTCAAGTGGTTCGTACACAGCGCAGCGTTCGTGTAATTTAAATTAGGACTGTGTCAGGCTTAGACAAAGGATGTATACTGATGACCATTATTAACATCACAAATGACATGAAGAGTTTCCATAAAAAGTCATAAAACATAATTATTTTATCTAATGGATTTCATACATATATTGGTTATGACATTTATCCATCCACTTTCTAACCACTTCATCTAACTCCGGGTCAGGGCGGAGCTGAAGTCTATCCCAGCAAGCAATGGGCACAAGGTGGAGTACATCCTGGACAGGACGCCAGTGCATCGCAAGGCAGACGCGCACACAAATGACAGAAGCCAATTACCCTACCAGTACTATATGTCTTTGGACTGTGGGGGGAAACTGGAGCATCCAGGGGCAACTCATGTGATCACAGGGGAACATACAAACTCCACACAGATACAGTAGGACCCATGATCTGGAATTGAACCCAGGACCCCCAGTGCTGCGAGGTAGCAACGCCGATCACTCTGCCGCTGTTTCACCCTGGCCAACATTTACACATTTCTCAAAAAAATAACATTTCTCTACATCAGTTCATTTGATTCTCGGCCCAAAATTATTTAGCTGTTATTTTGAAGTGCTCGCAGATTGTTAAAGTAAGTGGGTAGACCAAAGTGCAGTACTGTATGGGGCTGCCCATGCAGTCAGTTCCAATATACGGCTTATAGCCAGCAGCCATGTCACCCTGCAGCTCACCACTGGCAGTCCAATGAAGCTCAGCAGGTGTGA